ACCTGCCTTCTTTTAGAAATTCATCTACTGAGAAATACCATGTGAATGAGTTTATCAACAGCCAAGCACCACGATAAGATCCAGATCAAGAAAGTACATTAGGCAAGACCTAAAAAATGAATGGCCTGTACAAGGCTGTAAGCATGCTGAAGGCACCTAACATTACTTCCCTTTCAGGAACATAATGGTGTTTATGGGTGTTAAGCAGACACCCCTGCAGCACTTTGCCTGTTTATGGCCTTTGATACCTACCTCACTTTGACCTCTATCCAGTCAATCATACAACATATCTCAACACTGATTTACTCTAAACTGCAATGGGCTTTTGTTAAAATACATCAGGGTCAGTTAGAGCTGAGTGACTTCTACATGCTACAATGTAAATGGCTTTAAAGCTCACTTACCGCAGGCACATGGATCCTTCAAGGCTGTCTTGCTGGTGTCTTTGCTGTTTGCTATCTCGCCTTCCCGGGCAAGATCAACGGGGTTGCCGTTCGGAACTGATGCTGGGATGTCATCCGTCTTGCTAACCATGATTCGTTTCCCAGAAGACTTTTTTGGTTTCGGAGTTAAGCAACAGATGTCCGGCGCTGAGGGCTGTGATGCGGGTTTGTTGTATGGCCTTCTCCGTCAGACGGAATGGCTGCCTGGTTACATGCAAAGATACTACAAAAACAACTTTACTTGCAAAGGACAATTCTCAGCCTGGCTGTCACACGTGGTTTCTCCTCCTCTTGACCTGCTTGCCTTTGTATTTGTCCCACCCACCACCAAACACGCGGCTACGGCAGCCCGATAGCTCCATTTGGAGAAGCGCATTTTACTGACTCGGTTCAACATTTAGTTTGTTCTTTATTTAACACAGTTTATTAAAATATCTTACGTGAACCAGATTTGAAATTCCTGGCTGTGCATAAAAGGATCTGCAACAGATAAAAGGATCTGCGTAATACCTCGATAATAATGGGAGGTCCGACTCACTTCCGAAATTCGGTTCTTTCGAGCAATTCTTTTCAAAGATCCGGTTTAAAACGATTTAGTAATACTTTTACAAAATGTTACAAATAATTGTATATTTCAAAACTTCAAAATATTTAATGGTAGGTCTATCTATCCTTCAAGTGAACTGAATTTGTGGAAGCAGTAATTGGATTTTTATGTATTTTATTTATTTTTAATTCTTTTGAAACCATATTGTATTTGGAATGTTGTTGGATGACAAAAAGCAGATTTATTTTATTAATTTAATGTTGATTCTAGGTAAATTCTTTATAAATGTAAGTGTATGAAGACAAAATCTCTGTATTTTATTTGTAACTATTGTCCATCATTTCCAATCGAATATTAAACATGCCTGCAAATTTGCTAGAATGACAAGAGACTTTCATTTACTGGAAGATGAATGAAAAGACCCATCTTTGTTAATTTGTACATTTTCTCCCAAATATCTGTGTATTACATTTTTTAAGAGTTTTACTAATAAGGGTGTTTATTTTTGGTTTGTTGCAGCTATGATTCAGTCATTTTGGATATATATTGTCTTAAAAACGTTAATAAAACTGTATTTCTTAAAAAAGAAAAAAAAACGTTTTTTCACTGAAAAAAATGTAGGTGTAGGATTTACTTGGAAAAAAATCACTGAAATTTCTAGTAAATTTTGCAAATGAATACAGAGAAAAAAAACAAGTAACAATTTGAGTTAAACATTTTGAAGTACAAAGACTAATAATATTTTCTTGTAAAACATCAATAATTGTTGTCTTATTTACAACTTTTCTTTTTTTTTTTTACAGTAGCCTACATGTGTAAAACTCATGAAATTGAGTCATCGACATATTTCCAGTATGTTCTCTGCTGTTAATAAAACTTGCTTTAAATGTACTGAAGGTTTCCTTTTGAGTATGGCTTTACATATCAGAGTGATTAGGATTTTATACCCCTGAAATATTGTATAGGACACATTTGTAGGGTTGAGGAAATCAATAACATTAGCAACAATATTTATTCTCTAAAGTCAATGATGTTGACATGTTGACTAACCATGAATAAGGACTGACACAGTGATTTAATAAACCCATTTAATCATATAATATAGAGTAAACAGTGGATTATTTATTGCGACACATTATCGTTGCACAATTTTCTGTGGGTTGTCAGAGATTTGAATTACTGTGTACATTTCAAGACTTTCCAAATGTTTGTGAAACAGGACACTGATGTCTGGTATTGTCCAAACATGCACATACAGTGTGTTAACATTACTGTAGTTTCCCATGAAATTTAGTTCAAATCACTTGTCTCATCCCTCTCCTTTAAAAACAAGACAACCGAATAGTGGTTTTAAAACCTCTACCAGTTTAAGGGAAGACAGGTTATTCCATTAAGGACAAAAAAGCCAAATAAAATCAACATAAGACCCTTAATTAGCACACTGTTCATCTCATGGAATGGGGACTACAAAATAACATCAGGGAAAAAAAACAGATATTGCATGTACTGTATCTACGGATAATTGTTTCAAATTCACCACAATGTTCAAAAATGTATGTTGTAAATATGATTATGTAGAAGTCATCTTGTGAGGCAGTATTGCTTATCTCTTTAACATCACAATTATAAAGAACTTAAGAACGATTAAGCATTTCATAAGCAAAAATATGTTTCCAAGATGAATCATTAAATTGAAAACAGAAATCTATTAATTAACTAGTGGATGTGATTATATGGTGTATCACACAGTCTAACTCAACCTACTTGCATTCTAAATCCTCCCTATTTCTACACTGATACAATACAAAAACTGGTTATAGGCCTTTTAAATAGTGTCAGGCATATGCGTATACATTTACAAAATAAGGTTTCGGACACTGAGTGAAGCAAATATCACTTTGTTAGGGCTGTGTCAAATTAGACACAATTTTAAAATGAAAGGAAAACATTTTATGCATTCAGTAACAATCCCTGTGAGGGCTGCTTTTCCTATTTGGATTTTTAACAACCTAAAACATTCAATATTCAAAGCAAAATTATCATCTGATCTAATAAAGCAAAGAGAAATACCACATATACAATTGTAAATATCTTTAGAACAGTTTGTAAATAGGTGCTGCTACTAAATCTTTTACTGTCATGTTATTTTGCAAAATGATGTTTGTTGTCACAGGCTAACAACCAGGAATATTGTCCTCAGCCCTGTGACACTACGGTCCTCTATGGTATAGCCTACTTATTAGGACCCCTTATTAAAGGAATAGTTCACCCAAAAATTTCAATGGAAATTTCAATTACAATGGATCCTCTGCAGTGAATGGGTAATGGACGTTAATTGATGGGCTGGATTCATGTGGATCACTTGTGGATTATCGTGATGTTTTTATCAGCTGTTTAGACTCTCATTCACTGCAGAGGATCCATTGGTGAGCAAGTGATGCAAAGCTAAATTTCTCCCAATCCGTTCTGATGAAGAAACAAACTCATCTACATCTTGGATAGCCTGAGTTTGAGAACAATATCAATATTTTCATTTTTGAGAGAACTATCCTTTAAACTTGTCTGTTAGTTGTCAAGAAAGGTAATGTTGCCTTTCACTCCCATCCAATCAATTTCCATGAACTAACCCTCTCTTAGTTACACATCAAAGAACAGGAGTTAAGCCTTGATTTGTACCACACCACTTCTAATCTTGCATATTATGAATTTACAAGCTTTTGCGATACAAACACTTAATATGTTTGCGATATGTATCACATTGCTATTAGTCATCAAATCACCATAGCTCCTGGTATATGCACACATACCTGGCCACATAGAATTATAAAACAAACAACATTCTGATTCTAATGGCACATATGCAAACATGTTATCTGCAACATCAGACTAAAACATTACAGCATAAGCAGCTTAAAACTAATCAGTCCTTTGGGCATCACTGGCTCATTTAATGATGGCAGAACAATGGCGCGTTGACCCTTGAGCCCACTCTCTTCTAATCAACAAGCCCACACATAAACACACTATACAGCAGATAAAGCTGATTCAGGCTGTATAGATCTCATTCACATAGGATTTCTCTATCTGATTAAACGAGTATTTAGGTGATAAAATCTCCATCGCATCTGGAGGGCTGAAAGAGTGCACTTGTGGTGACACCAGACAGACTACCTGATCATTCAGAAATATCTGAGATGAGCTATTTCACCAAAAGGGCACACAGATTAAAAAAAAAAAGAACAACAGCTGAACAAAGACTCAAGTTCAAGCAGTAACAAGCTCACAAGGACACTGACTTCAGCCTGTTATGCACATCCTGAGTCTGCAGCAAGTAAACAGCAGTGTCGTGATTTCACACTGACAGCACTTCGGCAGCTCGAAAAGTGATTTCTGGGTTACTACATTGCATTTTTCTTTTAATAAAGCCTAAAACATTTGAAATGGTTATTGGTAGAGTGTAACTGAGTATTATTACTTTAAATGAAGATGTGACTGCATTTACATCCAAATGGTAATTTGCATGAAACCAAAACACCTTTGAAGTGTAGCTGTTCTGATTCAGATGTACTGAACATAAACAATGCCAGACATCTTTTATACAAAAAAAAAAAAAAAACATTATTATGCTGTTTTATAAATGCCTATACTGCTAAATATTGTGTCAATAAATATATTTATCCTGTATTTTAAATGTGTTTTGTGCTGTGTGATCTGGCATGAACATGTTTCGAATCCGGATCTAAACTAAATTGCATTTACACCTTCATTCGGCACAAATGTCAGTGTGAATGCTGTAACCTGTTAATATAGCCAGAGAACAAACTCCACACCACAGATACAGGATGCATAAAACAGGCCTTATGAAGCACTTCATGTTCGTGTATTGAGGCCCTCAGGGTCATTTTTGATTACAAAAATGCTTTACAGCAACATAAACACGAGTCGATTTTGGTTCAACGAGAACGTAAGCAAAAATTCAGTTTAATAATCACTGCATGTGCAAACTGTAAAAAAAGCTAACTGTATTGCAAATATAAACATTTCTGTCACTGGTTCTCCCAAGGGGCTCAAGGTGCAATTAAGGTTGAAATATCATAAAAACAAGCAGGTTGAACTGTAAAAGAAACGCTCATTCAGCGTTGTTCTCTGTGGTAGACGCAGTGGTCGCAGTGGCTTTAGCTACTGTTGTTGCCAGTCTGCTTACAGAAGCTCCCTGATCGAGCTCCTCTGACTCCTCCCCCTCCGCCTCCTGCAGGGCATGTCTGTGTGGTGGGCGGAGCCGGGATCTGTGTCTGTAAGGGTAGAAGAAGAGGGCGGGGTCAGGCATGGCCATAGGCTCCTCGGGGCCAGTCACCCTCTCGCGCGGCACACACTCCCTGGCGCGTTCGGTGTGGAGGTGCGAGGAAGACCGGCTCGAGCTCCGTCGTTTGGGTTTGATGGTGGTCGGGCTGCTGGCACTGGCCTGAGGCGAAGGGTGGACGGGAGGCTTGTCCACACCAGACTGGGCAGGCCTCCTGTGCTGCTGCTGCTGCCTCTGCTGATGGAGTTTCTGCTTGGCTGAATGCAGCTGGAAGGACAGGTACGCAGCCGCCTCTGTCTGCTTCTGCAGCTCGGTGTTGAGCACAGTGGTCCTGTGGCTGCGGTGTTTTAATTCCTCCAGGAAATGGCGCTCCTTTTCCTTCAGACTGGCGCGGAGAGCACCCACTAGGACGGACTTCTGACTCAGCTCCCATCGCAGATCACTCTGGATCTGCTGCTGCTCCTGCAGATGCTCCTCCACCTCCTCACAATGGGCTTCCAGCTGCTCCTCTTCCTCCGTCACCTCTGGAAGACATATAGAACAGAAACGTTTATTGTAATAAAATGTGATTCAGTGTGATTAACCACAGACATGGTCTGTAAGTTCAAGCACTGTTTTTTATACAACTTACAGAAGGTTGATTTTTACAACCTTCTGAAATGATAGACATGACATGATTGTTTCCAGTTCGTCTTGAACAAATTAAATTGTCTTTAAAAGCCCCAAGCAAATTTATTAACATCAACAGACAATCTTAAAGACATTTTGATATTAAAGTATATTATATCGTATCAATAATATATTGTACAAATATATCATATTGTATAAATATAATTTTTTTTTAAATATAAAAAAATTGTGTGACATACTTGTGATCTGTAAATCTTAAATTGAGAAATCAATGTTTTATCCACATTATCGAGTTTATTCTACAACAATGTGAAAATGTGCTCTAACTTTAAAAACATTGTTGAACTGTTCATTATATACTGTCTGTAAGATTTTTACATGTTTTTGAAAGAGGTCTCTTATTCACACCAAGAAATATTGTGAAATAGTAACTGTAATAAATAGTTTTTATTTTAATATATTTTAAAATGTAATTTATTCCTGTGATGGCAAAGCTGAATGTTCAGCATCATTAATCCAAACATTTATTGTTTTTATTATTAATATTGAAAACAGTTATGCTGCTTCATATTTTTGTGGAAACTGATACTTTTTTTTCTTCAGGATTCTGTGATGCATATAAAGTTCAAAAGAACAACATTTATTTTAAATGGAAATCTTGTAACATTATAAATGTCTTTGCTGTCACTTTTGATTAATTTAATGCATCCATGCTGAATAAAAGTATTAATTTATTTGTTCAGGGTTATCAGAAACATTAAATGTCTAGGACAAGACCTCCCTGACTACTGTGCCCACAAAGCATAAAGCAAATGTAAAGTAAATCGCTGGCAAAAAAAAAATCAAACACGTGTGTAATATGTGTGATTAAAACATTTGGTATATGTACTTTTAAAAACCCTTACATTTTTAACCCTGTGTGTGTCACGAATCAGCCAGGCTCTCTCAGGCAGCTACAGCTCAAGAAGACTCACACTCCTGTCACGTACCAGGTCCAATCAGTAACAGGAAGAGTGTTAAACCGAAGAGGTACGATATACCAAGTTAAACCCTTGACGTTGCGAGTTGGCTGCCTGCACGAAGAAAAATTCATCCCTCTGGTTCTGGAGGAGTCCACCACAGCGATCATCCTAGGGCGTCCTTGGCTGATACAACACCAACCGAAAACATCCTGGACCACTGGAGACGTTCTGCAATGGGGGCCAACATGCTTTCCTACCTGTTTTCCATGACTTCTTCAGTCACCCTTGATTGTCCCTGTGAACACCACGTCCATTGAGAGTCCAGTAGATAAACAATCCGTGGATATCCCTACCTGTTATGCCTCATTCGCAGATGTCTTCTGCCCGGAGCAAACCTCCAAGTTACCACCTCATCGACCATGGGACTGTGCCATCGACCTGGAACCGGGTGAGTCAGTACCCCGTGGATGTGTCTATCCCCCTATCCATACCCGAACAGAAGGCCATGGAGGAGTACATAGACGAGGCTCTCAAGCAAGGTTACATCTGTCCTTCCACTTCTCCTGCTGCTTCCAGTTTCTACTTCGTGGCAAAAAGGACGGAGGCTTGCGGCCTTACAATGACTACCGGGCACTCAACAAGATCACAATAAAGTTCCGATATCCTCTTCCCCTCGTCCCAGCTGCTTTAGAGCAACTTTGGGGAGCCTCCATTTACACCAAGTTGGACCTTCGAAGCACCTACAACCTCATTCGGATACGTGAGGGGGACGAGTGGAAGGCCGCCTTTATTACTCCAGCTGGACACTATAAGTACCGGGTTATGCTGTATGGCCTGATCAACGGCCCCTCCGTATTCCAGAATTTCATGAACAAGGTACTCCGTAGCTTCCTGAACCGATTTGCGATCGTGTAAATTGACGACAACCAAACTGTTGTTAAAAATGGCATACTCAGCTTAGGCATACATACATATGCATATAGTAATCTTACCGTGAATGAAAAAAAAAACAAAAAAAAACCCTTGCCCGCTGACACAGAAGCTAGGATAGGTGTGGTATGTGTTGGGTATGTGTCATTATTACATTATTATTATTACTATTGTTATTACATAATTATTATTATATTACTTTTATTATTATTGATATTACAGTTGCCGTCATCACAAGGTATTATTGTTATCATCACCATCTTTAGTATTATTATTATTATTATTATTATTATGCATGTTAGTACTACTTAATACTACTACTATTATTCAGGTTGTCATTGCTGTTTATTTTCATTGCTGTTATTATCATTGCTGTTCTATTGCTGTTTTTGTGTTTTGTGTTCACCGTATGTTGTATGTTTTGCACTCTTAATAAAAAAAATAATAATTTGACGACAACCATCAACAGGCCTTACACCATTCCTATGTATACTTGGCTACCAGCCCCCACTGTTCCTGTGGTCAGGTGAACCATCGGAGGTACCATTCGTCTGCGCCCACCTTGTTGTAAGCTAAGTCCCAAATACATCGGTCCATTCCGGGGCAAAAGACAAATTAATTCTGTCACATATGAACTCAAGCTCCCCTCACAGTATAAGATTCATCCAGTCTTTCACGTCTCCCTAATAAAACCTTACCATCCACCTGTATCTGCTTCTTCCACAGAGCCTGGCCCCAGTGACGAGCCCCCTGCGCCTCAGATCATCGAGGATCCCATCAAGGAAATTCTGGACTCCCAACGCCGTGGTGGCCGTTTGGAATATTTGGTGGACTGGGAGAATTATGGCCCAGAGGAAAGATGCTGGGTACCTCGAGATGACATTCTAGATACGGCTCTTCTCACAGAATTCCATCAACAACATCCTCATCGTCCAGCTCCTCGAGCATGGGGTAGGCCACCGTGACATCAGGGTCCTCGGTCCACTGGAGTGTACCATGTAGAGGGGAGTAATGTCACAGATCGAACAGACTCTCTCACCTCCACTACCCAGCACTCCCAATCACCCGAATATTAACTACCCGCACCTGTCAACAATTACAATGTCATGGCACACTATTTAAGCACACACCTCAGCCTCAGTCAGCGTCTGGCCTTGAACTAGGAAAGACTCACTTACCTGGTCTCTGTGCTTACCTGTGAAGATTCCTGGTACTCCTATGTCTGTTCTCGAAGATATCGCCAGTTACTATTTACCTGCGGATACCATTGTTGAAGTGTGTGCTTCTCCGTCTCTATCGCCATCTGTAAGACAAAGCAGGACTGTTCTATTCGTCATCAATACTCTGCTCATTCAGTTTATGCTTGCTATACTCACCTGTTTTCTCCTGATCTCGCCCTGTGTCCAAATAAAGTTGTTTCTGGATTCATATACCCTCTGTTCAGTATATATTTCCTGACAGTGTGGTGAATTCAAGCCTTAAGTAGGGGAATCAAACCCCCCTGTAATTCACATCTAGAGTTTGGCCCATGTTTTACATGCAGCATAAACATAAACCAGAAAAAGTGAAGACTCATGTATAATCTACCTTGTGATTTGAAACCGGCATGAATAATATGAACAAGCCTTCCATCTAAAATCAGATTTAGCCGTAAAACCAAATTCCTAACTAATCTGCGATCTAAAAGGTAAGTGGATGTGGGAGAGGAAAGTAGACAAAAGGCTCTTCTGTGCCCAAGGATTACGGGACTTACTGACCAAATCCAAATCAACTAATCTCAACTCTGGTCTGGCTACTGGCATGGTGTGCCATCTGTTCAGGGTTATCAGACACATTGAATGTCTAGGACAAGACCTCCCTAAGCATGCTTGACTACTGTGCCCTCAAAGCATAGAGCAAATGTGAAGTAAATAATTTTATTCTCATTAGAAAGCCACTTTGGAAAAAGGTTTCTACTAAATCAATAAATGTAAAAGTATAGAGCACTATTAACAAATCTTAAATCACTCTTATATTACTGTAAATTCCATGTATCTGACACTATATACTGTAAATTATGAGTGAGAAAATGTGTCATAGAATTAGTTCGAAGCATGGAAGAACAGCTGGTGTTTAACAGGTCATTTAACTATAATTAAACAAATGAAGGATAAAATGTATTTTCCAGTTGAAGGCGTCATACCCTCACATCAATGTAATGTTTTTCAGATAAAATGGCAGGCTAAGTAGACCAAAAATGAGTTATAGGAATCAGTGTCAGACATTCTACTCCTGATCCACATGAACCTGATGACTTTTTGCTGTGAGCTCAATATCTTTCCCTCTTTTTTGTCTCACTTGTGTGTGGTTTTTTTTCTATTTTATTGCACTATACTAGCACATCAGTTTGTCCAGATTGTCCTGATTTCACAGCCAGCCTATCAGTCCCACCCCATGCATCCAGACTGAGATGAATCATGATGTGACTATAGAAAATGCTGTGTTATCCGATCCCTAAATCTGATCTCTCCACTGTTCCTTATTGAGTTCACTTTTTGCTACCTCTGACCCTTTTAATAGAATGTGTAATGAAACTGAGATGTCGACAACAATCAGTTGACAAAAGCATTTGTGCAGATAAGAAGTGATAGACATCAAAAAAAGATGAGTATTGTTCATTTAATATTCACATTGTGCAAGCAATATGCTTGTAAATTATGAAATCATTTCCATCATCAAACAGTGTTTGTTCCTTTGGGCTTCTTTGAAGACTAAACTAACACATCCAAAACATCTGTTTGACCTCAGATGAAAAATCATTCACAGCAAAGAAGTATAACATTGTAAACAGGCTTCGGTAGTCACAACGCAGCATCAGTTAACACGGCCTGTTTCTATTTTTGATGCACCGCAGTTACTTCAGAAGATTATTTTTCCTGTCCGTGAGAAATAAAATGATTTCAGCATTAAATATTTCACTCTTCCACTTGTCTGTGTATCTGCGTTCTGAACATACTGTTATTATGTGCACTGGCAATGTGTATTTTACAGTGACTGTAGAATACATTGTTAGGTCAGTAGGTGGCGACATAAGTAAATCATTGGGTCCGTGTACTTTTGTGTCCATTCGTTTTTTTTTTAACCATGATGGAAAAAAATGAAAAAAGACTTTTAGCACCTTTAACAAACATTTTCAAAATGCGCAAATTAATATAGAAAAATGTCAATTTTACAAGTTTTCTTTGGCCAAATTAGAAGTAGGCTAATTCTCCCGCTATAGAGCCGTCTCTGGAACAATGCAGAGACCTAATTAATTACATTATATGATTTTAAAATAGACACTGCAGAATTCTGGGAACTTTATCATCATGAAATTAAATATTGGGGTATAATTTAGTCATAATTTTGTGTGCTATCTGGGTCACGGTATTGGAGAGGACCATGCATGGTCGCTCAATGCACGTTCAGTACGAGCGCTACACATGAGGCTTTAATATATGGGGTAAATATACTGTATAAATATAACATAGAAATATATAAAATTATAATTTTTCCTACTTCTCCAGATACAGGCAGGCCCGGTTCCAGAATCAAATCACTGAGGGTGCTTCTGAAATAATTGAGGGTGCTCTAGCCTTAATGTACATCTCTTTTGACATATTTTTGACATATGAATGTCACTCCCAAAACTTTGCAGCATGTGAGAGGTCACTGGTCCTTTTAGTAGCATCATGAAAAACAAAACTTATTCAAATTCTGAATGGATTATAGCCAAAGAGTATAATCACTAAAAAGTGTCACTCATTTCAGTTTATCGCTATCTCCAAAAGTTCCGTTATAATCAATGAAGCTCTACACTGCACAGTGAATTTGTTATTTAAATCATTTTTTGTTTGTTATAATGAGAGATTCCCGAGCGTGCAGCACTGATCAAAACTGTGGTGTTTTGAGCGGTGAATGGATTCTAACTTAATGCCTCAGCTTAGCCATTGTGTTCAAGAAATCAACAGAAATGTCAGTGATTGCACGCTGAAAATAGAAACCTTTGAAGCTCTCTAAAGTTCAAACACAAATACACACTGGAGCGTCTGGAAAATATGTTTCGCCAGTATATCCTATTTCTACAGCTTCAACTGAGGTGCTCTTGCTTTCATTTCATTCCCCCTAACACTCCCGTAGAACTGGTCCTGGATACATTTAAATGCAAAGACATATGTAATAATGTAATGTTTTTAGGCGTGAACAATTATCAAGATCACAAAAATATCTAAGCCAAAGGTTTTCATAAAGCAATAGATTAGAGGTAGCCACATCAGTAGCGCGAGAGGGAGCTTAGGCCATCTGTATAGAGACAGTAAAAAAAGCTAGAAACTAAATTTAGCATTTATATTCATTAAAAAACAAGCTTTATGTAATTTTTATGATTTTTAATGAAATACGAATTTTGAAAAATGAAAATTAGTTTGTGTCTGCTTACTCTATTCATCAGTGTTTGAACCATTAAGGAAAAAACAAATTTTCCATATTTTATTTCTGGGTTAAAAAACAAAAAAATGAATAGACACAAAAGTACACAGACCTCATTGAATCATTCAATCAGCTGATTCGTTTGGACACAATAGTTCATTCAGGAACGCAACTGCTATGTATGTGTTGCTCAGCGATGTAAAGTTTTATTACACCTTCGTTTGGAATGATTTTCACTGGCAGAGCACAAATACATGAAATATTGGTAATATTGTGTCTTAAATATGTTACACAATATTAATTTCTTGTTTATTGAACTGTTGTAGAAAAAAAATATCACACTAACAACCTTGATCCTGGAAACTTTGCAGTTAGGCCACAGCTTTGTTGCAGTAGAGAAGACATTAAAATAAAGGTATTTATTCCTGTGATGGTAAAGCTGAATTTTCAGCAGCCATTAATCCAGTTGTCAGTGTCACATGATCCTTACTATTATCAATGTTGAAAATAGTTGTGCTGTGGAATATTTATAAGGATATATATATATATATATATATATATATATATAAATGAATAGAAAGTTACAAACAAAAAAATCGTACTGACGCCAAACTTTTGAATTGTAGTGTACATTATGTTCATATTGTGGTAACTGATTACTAAATTATTAGTCATTTGTACAAACAGATTTAAAACTCACCACGTCTGATTATAATTTAAAAATCTATTTTTTTCTTTTCTATTCCTCTCTGTCTCCTTGCCCAGCTTTGTCTCAGCAAAAGAACATGCTGTAATTGGACACCCCCACTGGGAATGTGCAGCAAGCGTAGACGAAAACACAGGCAGGATCAATTTGTGGGAGGATGAGGCTGCGTCAGGCTGGAGGAGAGAGGGATGACCTGCAGTACGGAGAGGAGTCGTCTCCTGCTTGTACATTGTGTGGCCGCTTAATGTGCGATTGGTTAGCATTTTAGATAAATTATTATCACATTAATAAGACATGGTCATTAAAAACACTATATTTGCATTAAATCTAATCACTAGAATTTAGCAAATTATATGGAATTGTAACAACAAAAGAAGTGTCTAGTGGATAATTGTATTTATTATCAGAGTTAATATGTTTTCATGTATGCTAAAGTCTTTCAAATGTGATCTAGTACAAATATTAATATCTACCAGCATATAACCTAAATACTAGCTACAGCTGTTGTTCTTGTTGCTGTGTACTGAACTGAACACCTGTACTAAAAATACAAAAACTCCATTCACAAATACATGAAACAACATTTTTGGAATGCAACAGAGCTCACCTGCTTCACTCCTGCCTGGGGGCTTCATGTTGAGTTCCTGTGTAAGTTCTGTAAGTAACACAGATACACTGTTATTTCTGAGCCTTTTTTTTTTTACATTTTGAAAATGATACATTCCAGAATCATTATAGATCATGCCATAAGTTCTAAATTAGTATTGATTTGGAATTAATTTGATTCGATTTAGCATTTATATTATTCAATTAATTGTTTAGTGCATAAAATGTCCCACCCTACATTTTACATTTCATTTGGACATGTGTCAGATTACGGAGGTAAAAGCAATAAAAAGTAAAATAAAGCAATAATAAAGCCAATTCATTTAAATTAAACAATATAATTTACCCTACCATTCAAAAGTATGGGGGCAGAATGATTTTTTTTAAAGAAATTAATACTTTTATTTAGCAATGATGCATTCAATTGTTTAAAACTGACAGTAAATATACTTATAATGTTGCAAAAATGTTCTTTCAAATAAATGCGGTTCTTTTGAATTTTCTATTCATCACAGAATCCCCTCTCCCTCTCCCCAAAAAACATGGTTTCCACAAAAATATTAAGCAGACCAACTGTTTTCAATACTGATAATAATAAGAAATGTTTCTTGAGCACCAAATCATCATTTGCTTTGCAATCACAGGAATCAATTACGTTTGAAAATATATTAAAATGGATGTTTTATAAAATAAATAGTTGTTTTAAATTGTAATAATATTCTACAATATTACTATTTTTACCGTATTTGTGACTAAATAAATGTTGAGTATGACTTTAAACACATTAAAAAAAATCTTACTGACCCCAAAGTTTTGAATGGTAGTGTATATATCAAAGGGTTGCAAAAGAAAAACTGATTTCCTGTGTTGCAGATACTGAGAAGGCTTTAAACTATAGTATGATTGGTTGCTCTACAGGGCAGAAGAGCAAAGAGATGAATATGCAGTGTGCTGGTTTTCTGCGCTAGCAGGCTCAGCACATTTCCAGCAATGTTCAGGTAGAAAGGCCGTGTCCTATATTACTGAGAGGGAAAACACAAACCCTGCACTGACAGGAAGCTATTGACCCATGGTTCTCTCTGTGGAGCCTGTGCCACCAAAGAGAGCAACGTAACCCTGCTCTCCTCTGCACTGGATCTGTGCATCTAGGGCATGACAACACAATTAAATTGCGTGCTAACATTATATTTGGAATGACATCCAATTAGGTGTGATTTATGATAAATTAAATGTTGCTCAATTCAATTATGTGCGTTGTTTCATGTGTGTACAACTACTCAAAATCAAATGCAGGTGGCTGTACTGTGGGAATGGTCATGACACACACCTGTACAGCGTTTCTGGAGGGACAGGATCTCCAGATGTAGTCCATGCAGCAGAGACAGCTGCTCCTGTCTAAGGAACACAATGCTCCTCTCCACACTCTCCACCTGCTGCTCCAGCGAGACCACCTGTGACCCCTTCACCAAACGAAACACAGGGATATTTACAGTATATAACCGTTTGTCTCCATGGTACCCTCTTGTTAGTTGTCTAGGTCAGTGTTTCCCAACCTTTTTGTAGTGGCGGCACCCTTTGGAAATTTTAACAAACTTGTGGCACCCTACAAAATTAATTTTGTTACAATATTTGAATTTCTAACTTCGATATGATAATTTGAAAAGTATAGATATTCGGTACAACAGGGAAGAACTGCACAATATAATGTCATACAGATATTTTTTATATTATTCAAAAATGTTGTCCATCAATGGTGGCAATTTCTAATGAAGAGACCAATTTATATGACAGATTTTAATGTAGGCTTTTATACATAAGTAAACATAATCGATTAGCTCCACCCTTTTGTTATCTTGTTAACCTGTGTGTATATATACCCCCGTGTTAGCCTTAGTCTTTGTCAGTTGTTGTCTTTGCTATGTTGTAGCGTGTTTTCCTTTGCCTTGTTCTCCCTGTGTTCTTGTTTCCTGTTTATGCCCTGGATTACCTATTGTTTTATTAAACCTCACACTGCTAGCATTTGGATCCTGCCTCTCCTCTTCCATGCATCAACCCGTTACAGTTTCAGTCAAGTAAAGGTACGAATAAAACATTTAATAAAAGAGTAAATGTTATATTTACCTCAGGAAAGTTGACCGATGTTCATAGTTTGTTAGTTAGCTAGAAAAAATCACTAGAAAGGTGCTTATTTACTTAACCTGTTCATTATTTATGAATGCCATCAGTCATGAAGACAAGTTCTTATGAAAAAATACCTTGTGTGCAATTTAAATGTTTGTACTGTAGGCTGTACAGCATTTTTAATTGAGTGTGAATATAATAGGCTATATATAATTAGTAAATATGATAAGTATAAAATTAATATAATACGTTTTAGGTATTATATTCATAATTGTAATAGTAATATTATATTTATGTACCAAATGAGAGGGTTCCCATAGTTTACAGCATTAGATGATTTTTTTGCAACTGAGAGATTTTTTTTCCTAGAAAAACTGACATGCACCTGAAATATTTACAAATGAATTAATATCAAATTACATTGTATGATACCATATACCGTGAAACTGTGATATTTTCTGAGATGGTTATCATACAGTGAAAATATTATACCAATACAACCCTATATGTGACATGAACATTTGAGATCTTGGAGTCTTTACTAATGAGCTGATGAGTTGAATCAGATGTGTTTGATTAGGGAGACATCTACAATGTAGTTGTATGCAATGCAGTTTGGGGACTTCAGGACAAAGATTGGGAAGCACTGTCTTATAGTATAGCCTACTCATTGGGCACCAATAGTTTGGTCCAGTGTGGTCCTGGGCCCCATGAATTCCAGCAGCAGTTCTACTGAAATATACACTAGAGTCAGCAAATTAATGAGGGCTGGGTACAAAATGCCAATAAAAGGGACAAAATGTCACTAAAATTGAAACTGTGGTGCAAAAATTCTGCTTTTATTTATGTATTTATTTGTTTGTTTTATTTTATTTTACATTATCTAATAATATATTCCTATAACCCTATTATATTATTATAGGCCCATGTCGGTTATACAAAAAGTCACAAACTGTGAGTTGATGCTAATTTCATTTTATAACAGTATGACTCAATAGAGAATTAATTTGAATACATTCTTTAAATTTAAGTATTTTACATCAAAGAAAAATGCACTTTAATAAAAAATATCTTTAAAAAAACGTAATTTTTGCGTAGTTCTCTTTTACTTGATCTGACCCCTTAAAATGATGTTGGTGTGACAGTCACATTGATTCATTCATAATAAATAATATTTTTTACTTGAATAAAACCAGTTATTTTGGTTGTTAAACACATTTTAGATATCTTGACAAAATATTTTTACAAATTATATTAATTTTATAATATTTACAATATCATTTAGAAAATAAATTCATTTTTTAGTATTTTTATGGATAATTTGAACATTTGGTTTTACCGTGGTCTTAAGTGATAACTTCTGAGCGTTATTGTGCTTATTATAAACACCACAGATGTGAAACAATTCATGCTCGCAGACACGTTGTGTAATACTACTACATCCCACTGTAACCCATTTAAATGTCAATAAATTCCTGATTAGTCACTCTTTCCCATATAACATGGCCATAAAAGCCTTCGATAACACTGCGCATATTATCCAGCACTCACCGTATTTTCCATTAGCGTGGCTTATATTGGTATCCAACAGATGAGGCGTTATAATGAAGAGAATGAACGTGCTCCTTCACTTCCACGTCTCTGCCCTTCAAAGAACCGACCCATGAACATATAGGATGACGACATCTTTAAAAAAAGATCAATACACATCTCAAAGGGGGACTTAAAGACGGATCTGCCCCAGAATAACGGGAGAGGTTTCGCGAGAAAGACGAGAGTTCAATCCTTCGTTATCTTGGCCAACGTACAACTGTTGTATCCCACAATGTCACGATCGATTAAAGTGATCTGGCTCAAGAGTGCTCGTGCGTCCTGCGTCTACTGAACGGCATCATCCTCATCATCGCGATGACAGACGGCAGGAAGCGGCTGCTTCAGTACCAGGGCAATGATGCAACTGATGGAGGAAACTGAGGCTCTGAGGAACTCTCCACTGCACAACCCATCTCATACGTGCATCTCTAGTGGTGCTTTGCAGTCGCATATTAAGCTAAGGCGCGTCATGTATTACAATAAACTGAGCTGAAGTACAGCTGAATTATACAACGTTTAGTTCCAGTCCTCGAATTTGATTGGCCGAGCGGCGTTTCATGAATATTTAATTAGCATATGGTCTGTTCTCTGTTTGTATAACTCAAACCAAGAGTATGTGTATTGACTTAATTTATTTTAAGTTGATATTTTATTTTTAGTTTAGTTTGCATTTTTCGAGTCTAGTAGCCTACTGTACGTGAGCAATGTGGAGTGAAAGCGGAGTGGAGCTTTTCTGGAGCACGGAGTGTTTAGTGGTTTGTCTCGTGCCAGAATGTCTGGAATCGCTCCCCATATGCCCTCATTTAACTATTTACTATTCCCCTATATAGCAGATGTCGTTAAGTCCACTACATGTGAAAGGAGTGATAACCCTGTTATTGTATTATGGGTATTCTCGAGTCATTTAATGCACGTGGAATAAGTGCACTAGATAATCTACAATATGGTTTTAGTAACCAATACAAATGTCTGATAACCTACACGAAGACGCAGTACCGCCGCTCCCTGAGTCCCTATAGGCAGAGTACGCAGTTTGCGTAGGGCACCAACTCCCAGGGGGTTGACCCTGATTTCACCAAGTAGCCTACAACATGTTCCTGGATCAACATCCTTGTACAACATTCCAATTAACCAATCAGAATTGAGGGATAACTTTTCAGGAAATATCTGTTTTAGGCTTACGATCAGGGTTAGGTGCTTCTACACCCTTGCTAATCAGCTATCATTTCACACTGATTTTAGGAATAAATTATGGGTAGGGTTAGGTTTAGGGGTAGGGATTGGGTTTAGTCTAAATTTTTGGACAGTAATGTTAATCCTGGATCAACAAAATATTTTTTTACCATTTAAAAACATATTTAAAAAATAATAAAAAAAAAAAACATTTAGTTCTATATGAATATTAACATACATTTACATAGGGTTAGGGTTAGGGGTAGGGATTGGGTTTAGTCTAAATTTTTGGACAGTAATGTTAATCCTGGATCAACAAAATATTTTTTTACCATTTAAAAACATATTTAAAAAATAATAAAAAAAAAAAACATTTAGTTCTATATGAATATTAACATACATTTACATAAATAAAAATGTAAACATGAACATATATATATATATATATATGCATTTTAAGGTGAATGCAGTTGGCAGTATAGGCTAAGCACACGTGACGCACACGTGAGGGCCCGCCCTCACCTCATGTTTGCGGCTGACTGCAAATGATCGATCATAATTGATGAACTATGCCTGAGAAAAGAAAAGAAAAGAAAAGAACAGAAAAGAAAAGAAAAAAAAAATAGATAAATCCCATGCATCACTTTCAGGTACGTTCATAATCCTGTGAAACTTTTTTAGCTGTTGACATTAATAACGTGTTTTAATGTCGGTATTAATTTCACCACCACCACCGCATCTGCCTTAATATTCTCTCTTATAGGCCTAGTTTCCATATCCCCTTACAAAAATTAACCATGGTTTTATTACGAATAAAAAAAACATGGTTATTGTAGCCATGGTAACCACAAATTAACCATGGATTTGTTACTTCAAATAATAATTTACAAAGAAGTATTCAGATAATATTTTTTTGTGGTAATAAAAACAGACCTAAGCGAACCACAGCCTTTAAAATGACTTAAAATGCATTATATAAAAACAATGAGGCAATAATGATTGGTTAATTAATAATAATATGGTTTTATTGAATACACTGTTAAAATACATAATGTAATACAAAATAAACAATTTATGTACATTACATATTACAAATGCCTGCAAAGAGCTCCAAAGTCCTGGTAATTGCTGTTGTTATGTTTAATATTGACCAAACATTTAATTCAAATATCTTTATTTTTTTTGTAGCCTACACATAATACAATTTAATTACAATGTATTTATTTACCTTTATATTTTATTAAAGTTCTATTTTGACCCCTGTAGAAGGTGTTTTTTTTTTACTTTCATAATATTTGGGGGAGGGGACACAATAATACAATTCTGTTTAGGGCACCCATTTGGCCAGCAGCAGCCCTGCCAAAACAATTTCGTAGCTTGTTAATTTCATCAGCTGAAGTGGGCGGGAAAACCCGGAGTGGAGTTTCAGCCGAGCGTTTGCAGAAAGCTTTGAGGGGTAGGGGAATTTTCTTTTGCTCCGCTCCACTCACATACGCTTCTCCAGACCAGTTTTTTAGTCTGTGCGTTGCCTGGTAACCTGCAAGGCGTTACCAAAGACTGAATACCCAGAGCCGTATTATTATTATTAATTAACCAATCATTATTGCCTCATTGTTTTTATATAATGCATTTTAAGTCATCTTAAAGGCTGTGGTTCGCTTAGGTCTGTTTTTATTACAGCAAAAAAAATTATCTGAATACTTTTGTAAATTATTATTTGAAGTAACAAAACCATGGTTAATTTGTGGTTACCATGGCTACAATAACCATGCATACATAAAAGTTGTTTAATGTTATATAAATCATAAAGGATTATCAAATTCTGTTATTATTCTATATAAACTTCCCAACTTCTCAAAACAATAACCTCAAATAAAGTGTTAATAACATTTTATTTCACGATTAACAATATAAAGGTCATATACAAATAACGTTGATATTAATTACAAAATAATTCATCCAAACAAAAATAAAATTATGCTATATACATTTTAGATACAATTGTTTAAAACTTAAAATGATTAGGCTAGCTACAACAGCAAGGGTAAAAAATAAAGTGAGCGAAAGGAAAAGACCATTCTCCTTTTATTGTGCGCTCCTGGACGTGGGCACATATACCTATCTTTTTCCAGCTTTGATTTATTTATTTTTTTAATTATGGCTTTGGAAAACACTGCAACACTATGCTCAAAAAGTCAGATCCACAATACAACACTTGATAATCTTTCACCAAACACAGTACAGAATTGCACTCTCAAGTGAAGGACAACCACATTGCTGAAATTATCTTAATAAAAAATTAAGTCACATTGGTTTTCTCTCAAAAACTAAAATGTATACCTTATATACACTGAGATACCTGTTACCTCACTAAGGAAGCAAATATACAAGCACAAAGTCTCAATATGAAGCTGCCAATAGTTAAAAAAAAACACCTCAAAAGTTTTACTATTTCAGTGCACATTTATTTTTCTATTTTTCACTTGCTTTCAAGTTCTTTTAATAGTTTCAACGTGAGTATCTTTTTTTTACTTCCTTAATTATTTATCCCTCCTTCAAACAGTAAAAATAAGGCAGGAGTACACCAGATTAAAACACAATTAAACATTATGAATAAACTTTGGTGCTTTTAAAAAATAGTTTTGTGGCACAAGTCGGTGATGCTACATGTGGTTACAGTGCGTCAACTTTCCCACCGGAGAGACAGGCCACTACTGCCCAATCAAATTAGAATCAGAATTCAGTCTACAATCTCAATGGCACTGAGTACATAATAAGGCTAAACAAATAAATGCCTTTACTTTAGTAAAGACTATTTAGACCAGGGGTGCCCAAACTCGGTCCTGGAGGGCCGGTGTCCCTCAGAGTTTAGCTCCAACTTGCCTCAACACACCTGCCTTCAATTTAGACCATTCTTTGTTTACCACCAACAAAATCACAACATAATATTTCACAAGACAGTGTTCCATCATTCATTTTGTTCTCAAAAGTTATTTTTTTTTTTGCAGTTTGCCTCCAACCATTACAATCAATGACATTAAATACAAATAAATTACATATATTCAAAATTAAACCGAAAGAAACAAATTACAAAGCTTTATTTAAAAAAAGTTAAGCGCATTTAAATCAAAATTAGTTCTGCTTTAATCATCGCCTCTCTTTTGATTAAGTATTAGCATAATCTAACATGAGGTCACTGTTGTATGTGTGTAGTGCCACCTACAGGCATGATCTGTGCAAAGACGACCCTGTCAGATCTCAAAGCTCACATGTATTGTTCAGTTGTAATGACATGTAATGAGCAGGAGTGTTTCAATCCTGATAGCTGTTGTGAAGACTCCAGCATCGAGATTCGGATTCTCCACTTAAAGGGTAACAGATCAACTGAGAATAGTGGTATTCATCCACAGGCTAAAACTACAGTCATGTTTAGCAAATGAAATCATACCCCAACCTTGTGGAATACAGTACTGAACACTGGGCACATCCTGTTCATGGTCACTTCATTCATTAAGTCAGTACAGAGAATTTAAACTAAAAACAAGCTGTAATGGAATTCCATCAGTTCACCCAAAAATGAAATACCAGTCATCAAATCTATCATATGGCTTCAAAAGACTTTGAATATATCAAACGGGCTACTGTTACATTACTTTTATGATGATGTTGGAACTTGACAGCCCCAGTCGCAATTCACTTTCATTAATTTGTATGGAAAAGAGCAGCGAGAACAAAATATCTCCAGTTGTGTTCCACAGAAGAACTAACTTTTTTTATTTGAGTGAACTGTCCATTTAAAAACTGTATAGAATTAGGATGATACTGCTACAAGCTCATGAGGTAGCAGCTGTAGGTGTTAATGAGACTAGAAAACATCTTTAGCTTAGTTTATGTTTAGCAAATGAAATCATACCCGAACCTTGTGGAATACAGTACTGAACACTGGGCACATCCTGTTCATGGTCACTTCATTCATTGAGTCAGTACAGAGAATTTAAACTAAAAACAAGCTGTAATGGAATTCCATCAGTTCACCCAAAAATGAAATACCAGTCATCAAATCTATCATATGGCTTCAAAAGACTTTGAATATATCAAACGGGCTACTGTTACATTACTTTTATGATGATGTTGGAACTTGACAGCCCCAGTCGCAATTCACTTTCATTAATTTGTATGGAAAAGAGCAGCGAGAACAAAATATCTCCAGTTGTGTTCCACAGAAGAACTAACTTTTTTTATTTGAGTGAACTGTCCATTTAAAAACTGTATAGAATTAGGATGATACTGCTACAAGCTCATGAGGTAGCAGCTGTAGGTGTTAATGAGACTAGAAAACATCTTTAGCTTAGTTTTAATAAATAAACCAAACTTTTAGGATTGTTAAATAATATATAGCCTAGCCTATATGTTAGGGGTGCAACGGATCGTAGATGATCCGTGATCCGTAGGCTATGGATCAGGCTGCACGGTTCGGCACGCATGTGATTCGCGGATTAACTGTTAAGTTTAACCATCATAGAGTTAAAGT